AAAGAAATCGAAGACAATTTTATGTGCTCTCACCACAAAATTGTTAACTATGTAAGGTAAAGCATTACCTAAAATTAAGCATTTGACAACGTATATACATACTTCAAAATGTCATGTTTTACAGAATAAATGTACATGTATTTATTACAGATGGTAATGACATGAAAGACATTAAGAGGACAGGTGTTGCTTGTGGTCTCATGACTCACCCCTCTGTGAACACAGAAAACAAATTTGAAAAAAAAATAATAAAAAGTTTTAATCCAAAAAATGTCCTGATCTCCAAATCTTTTTCAGAGAAAATGACCAAAAAGTTGACTATTAGGTGATTAAGAATAAAAACTGTAAAATTCACCCACCAGAAAAACTGATATAAAATAAATTCCTCCAAATTGTAATGTCAATATTCAAAAAATATTACTCAAAATTTCAAATCTAGAGGTTTTTATTAGCTTGAAATGTTTAACATTCACACTTAAAAATAGATGATTCTACATGAAAATGTACATTGTTCTATATCATGGAAAAATTTATGAATCACATCATTAGCTCTTAAAAATTTAATTTCTAAGATATATATTTTAGCATATTTTATATTTGCCAACTTTGTGTAAAAATTTAATGAGATTTTCTGTGTACAGAGAAACATGATCGTGATTGAATTCTCTTACCTGTGTACAGTGTATGCCTTTTATCTTAACTTATTTGAAAGTTATATTTATAAGCAAACTCCAGTTAAAACCATTTTTTCAAGTGCATTAAACCTTCTCATCAAAACCTGCAAAGTACCATGCTAAACAGCATGGCATGAAAACAATTATGTGAAAATTGTTGCCATAAAACTGAAAAAGGGCTGTGATTGACACATCGTTGAAAAACACAGAATTAGACAAAACTAAGATAATTAGAATATAAAAGAAGCAAAATTTCTCTTTAAATTCGGCAGGATACAGCTTTGCAGCCTAAAAAAAAAAATTACCCTTCACATAAAGAATCAATGTTATGGCCGGGCGCGGTGGCTCAAGCCTGTAATCCCAGCACTTTGGGAGGCCGAGGCGGGTGGATCACGAGGTCAAGAGATCGAGACCATTCTGGTCAACATGGTGAAACCCCGTCTCTACTAAAAATACAAAAAATTAGCTGGGCATGGTGACGCGTGCCTGTAATCCCAGCTACTCAGGAGGCTGAGGCAGGAGAATTGCCTGAACCCAGGAGGCGGAGGTTGCGGTGAGCCGAGATCGCGCCATTGCACTCCAGCCTGGGTAACAAGAGTGAAACTCCGTCTCAAAAAAAAAAAAAAAAAAAAAAAGAATCAATGTTATTTGTTCACACTAATATTTTCCATCTCTTACTTGAAGTTGCAAACTAACCTTCACAGGAATATTTCTGCCTTATTATGGAGCATCTATTACACAGCAAACACTGTCATGTTTGTTTGCTACTTTATATATAGAAACATCCTCATGACTTGTAAGGGTTCCCTAGTAGTTACCTGAACAGATTGGCCCAATCAATAAATTTACTTAAGTTCATTATTAAAAAAATAAAATAAATTTTAAAAATAGGTTTATATAGCATTCTCCAATTAAAACAACAAAATGGAATATTTCAAATAAATAATTTAGCACACTATCAATACAAGGCACAGTATATATACAATTGCATTCAGCATTTTTGAGGATCTTTTCCTAGAAAATTAGACACCTTATTAAAATGATTTAATACTGCTCTTTTCTTCTGAAAATAGTTACAAACTTATACTCACACAATCTATAATTTCCTTACACCTAAGGTTTATCTTTAGACTAATGTGTGTATTTAACTATATGTAAATCAAAACTAAAGATCTATGAGTGTTTGCAGGCAGAGAGTCCACATGTTCGAAGAAAAATACAAACAAAAATTTTAAAGTCTTTATTCAGGACTCGGAAATATGTAAATTTTATTTATGCTTGTATATAATATTTATTATGACCATAAAATGACCCTGCAGTCAATAACAATTTAATTGCACATTTTAAAATAACTAAAATTGTAGAATCAAATTGTAATACAAAGAATAAATTCTAGAGGTGATGGTTACGTTTACCCTGATGTAATTATTATATATTGTACGCCTGTATCAGAATATGCCATATATAACGTGAATCCATACACATATAAATGACCCACAAAATGTAAGAAAATTTTAATGGCAATTTGACCTACAAGAACAGTATTCTTTAACATTTTGCAGTTTAAAGCCGCTGGCAAAAGACATTACTAAAGATGTTAGTCCATTATATTACCAAATAATGTATTGTTACCACCTGGAAAAATGTTCTCTCCACATGAAGAATTAATGTTTTTCTTTACCACTGATATTTTCCATCTCTGACTTGAAATCACAAACTAACTCCAGCAGGAATATTTATAGCTTATTGTGGAACTTCTGTTACACAGCAAGCACTGTCATATTTGTTGGCTACACTTATATACGTAAACATTCTCATGACTTATGAAACCTCCCTGAACAAATTGGTAAATTTACTTCTGTCAATTATAAAAAGCGAAAGGAACAATAATTAAAGAAAAGTAGGCTTATATAGGGTTTTCCAATTAAAAGAACAAAATGTTCTAATTCAATAAAATATAACTTAATAAATTAATGGTGGAATTACGTCTAGAAATTATTTTGGGTGCACTACTAAATTTTATAAAAACCATTCATACAATCCTTGACCAGCTCACAAAATGAAAACCTTAGAAAACTATGAAAGAAAAAAAGTATAAGAAACAAGAAAATTATGGATCTAGCATGAGTACTAGACAAGACAGCAAATTTGCATGAGAAGATTGACTAGCCGTAAGATTTTACAGTAAGAAATTCAATATAAAGCAGAGGGCATAGATTTGCTTTTAGCATTTTGAGGTTTTTAGTTTTCCAGTTAGTTTTAACCTAGCCAACCTTACTCAAGAATATAGGTAAAAGATGGTAACAATATGCTATTTGGTAACACAATGATTATTAAATTTAAATAATTCATTTTGTTCCAATAATTTTTTCTTCTGAAAAAAAGGTACAAATTTATACAAACATGCTGACTTACTCCATAATTTTCTTAAACTTAAGGTTTATCTTTAGAATAATGTATGTGTGCATTTAACTCTATGTAAATCAAAACTAAAGTCTGTATGAGTTTGCAGGCAGAGATACCATATTTTCAAAAAAAATTAACAATTTTTAAGTTTATTCTGGACTCCGAAGTGTACAAATTTTTATAATTGTACATAATTTTTATTGTGACCAAAAAGATGACCCTGTAATGAATAACAATTTAATTGTACATTTTAAAATATCAAAAAGTGTAGAATTCATTCCTAATACAAAGGATAAATGCTGGAAATGATGAATACTTAATTTATCCTGATGTGATTATTATCTTTTTTATTTCTGTATTCAAACAGGCTACATATATAGCATAAATACATACACATACTATGGACCCACAAAAATTAAGAAAAATAAAATAAGAGAAAAGGAGTAAATATTTAACCTATAGGAACAATATTCTTTAACTGCTCTGTTTAAAGTCACTGCAAAAGAGATTACTAGAAATGTTAGTTCATTGTGTTACCAAATAGTATATTATTACCATCTTTTACCTACATCTTTGAGTAAGGTTGACTAGGTTAAAGTTAATGGTATAATAACACTTTATTGAATGCACAATGGTTTTAACTTTTTTAAAACTTTAATTAAAAAATTCAGTTCACACAATCTAAAAATGTAATAATGTACTATATTCTATTACATAACAGTACCATTATTAAAATAATGTACTGCTAATTTAAATTTTAACTAAAATTTAAAATGTTATCACTATAATGTAGAATATTGCTCTGAACACCTAACTCATGCATTACTTAATACTATGTGTTAACCAAAAAGAGTCTCTCCACTTAGAATTTCATCATGTGTCTTACATTTTAATTCCGTTTCCCTTGCATAGAAAAGGTCATAAATAATCCCTACTAATTAAAAAAAAAACTTGTATTTTTGATGCAGTAACACTTAGTAACATGCTTTCACAGGTGAATACAGTAGGAATGAAAAAAAGAGCCTGAAGTAATTTGAGAGAATTGCATCATTATTCATGTTTTAAAATATCGGTGATTTTAAGGACAAAAGTATACTCTGAATGTAATTATAACACTTAAAAAACTCTACTTCTTTTAAAGTGACATACAAATAATTCATTTACCAACTTTAGTTCTGATTGTTTTCTATACTCAGCACTCTGATTTACCGTAATGTCTATAGCTTCGGTGCCTTAGGTATTTCTACTGTGAATTTTCTGATATTTACATAGACTTCATTTTGGATTAAACATTCTTTCATATTTACTACATCTGCAAAAATATACTTTAGTATGAAACCTCTGGAGTTTTCTAACCAATAGTTATTGAAACAATTTTTCTCCAAATTTATAACTTTTGCAAGATTTTTCCCCAATATAAATTTCCTGATGTGGAGCAAAGTTTGAGAAACTGCTTCGTTTTTCTCTAGTACAAAATGTGTACAATCAAATCTGTGATACAAGTAAAGCTACTACAACCCTCTTTATATTTGTAATCTTTGTCTTCAAAATGAATACTCTTTATTATTTTTTTTCTGAGATGGAGTCTTGCTCTGCCACCCAGGCTGGAGTGCAGTGGTGTGATCTCAGCTCACCACAACATTCACCTCCCAGGTTCAAGTAATTCTCCTGCCCCTGCCTCCCGAGTAGCTAAGATTACAGGTGTGTACCACCATGCCTGGCTAATTTTTGTATTTTTAGTAGAGATGGTGTTTCTATGGCCATGTTGGCCAGGCTGGTCTTGAACTACTGACCCCTTGATCCACCCACCTCGGCCTCCCAAAGTGCTGGGATTACAGGCATGAGCCACCACACCAGGCCTCTTCTTTAAAGGCATATATATAATAAATGGAATTACTGTAGTATATATATATTACGGTAATTTCATTTATTATATATAACATATACTGTAATATATATATTACAGTAATTCCATTTATATGCTTTGTTTACCAACTCTCTAATGTTGAGTAGGATATGATCAGATATTAATGGTTATTTCACATTATTTTTATTTGTACAATTTTTCTTAAGTGCATTCCTGTGCAATAAGTTGTGAACATTAATTAGAAGTTTCACAATATTTACACTTGTGTTTTCTCCAGTAAAAATTATCTTACTTAAAAATAAGTCAGACGTTTTGAAGGTTTTGTCAAATTCTTCACATTTCTATGATCTGTCACCAGTACGATTACTTTTATATTTAGAAAAGGTTGAGGTGTTGTCAAAATTGTTATCACACATTTTGGTTTTGTAAAGTTTCTCACTGGTATAAATTTTCTTAGGGTTAATGTTTGCAGATTGATTAAAAGCATTGTTACATTCTTCACATCTGTAAGGTTGCTCCCCAATATGAATTCTCTTATGTTCAGTAAGTGCTGAGGATCAGCTGAAATCTTGGCCACATTCTACACATTTATACAATTTCTAGCCAGTATATATTCTCTTGTGTTTAGTAAGGGTTGTAAATCAGTTAAAAGTTTTGCCACATTATTCACATTTGTATGGTTTCTCTCCAGTATGAATTCTGTTATGTGTAGTAGGGTGTGAGCGATAGTTAAAAGCTTGCCACATTCTTCACATCTGTACAGTTCCTCTCTAGTATGAATTCTTTTATGTGCAGTAAACATCGAGGATTTGTTAAAAGCTTTGTCACAGTCCTCACCTGTGTATGGTTTCTCTACGGTATGAATTATCTCACGTCTAGTAAGGGTTGCAGAGAGTGTACAAGCTTTGCCACATTCTTCATATTTCTAAGGTTTCTCTCCAGTATGAATTTTCTTATGTTTACCAAGTTTTGAGGACTGGTTAAAAGATTTGTCATTCTTTACATATGTAGGGTTTCTCTCCAGTATGAATTCTCTTATGTACAGTAAGCATTGACAATTTGTTAAAAGCTTTGCCACATTCTTCACATTTGTATGGTTTTTCTCCAGTATGAATTATCTTATGTCTCGTAAGGGTTGCAGAGTATGTAAAAGCTTTGCCACAGTCTTCACATTTGTATGGTTTTTCTCCACTGTGAATTTTCTTATGTCTAGTAAGGATTGCAGGTTCTGTATAAGCTTTGCCACATTCTTCGCATTTGTAGGGTTTCTCTCCGGTATGAATTCTTTTATGCCTAGTAAGGTGTGCAAACTGGTTAAAAGCTTTGCCACATTCTTCGCATTTGTAGGGTTTCTCGCCAGTATGAATTCTCTTATGTGTAGTAAGGGTTGAGCGATAATTAAAAGCCTTGCCACATTCTCCACATTTGTAGGGTTTCTCACCAGTATAAATTATCTCATGTGTAGTAAGGTTTGAGGATTGATTAAAAGCTTTGCCATATTCTTTATATTTGCAGGGTTTCTCTCCGGTATGAATTTTCTTATGTCTAGTAAGGTTTGCAAACCGGTTAAAAGCTTTGCCACATTCTTCACATTTGTAAGGTTTCTCTCCAGTATGAATTCTCTTATGTGTAGTAAGGTTTGAGCGATAGTTAAAAGCTTTGCCACATTCTTCACATTTGTACGGTTTCTCACCAGTATAAATTATCTTATGTGTAGTATGCTTCGAGGACTGATTAAAAGCTTTGCCACATTCTTTATGTTTGTAGGTTTTCTCTCCATTATGAATTTTCTTATGTTTACCAAGTTTTGAGGATTGGTTAAAAGCTTTGTCACATTCCTTACATTTGTAGGGTTTCTCTCCAGTATGAATTCTATTATGTGCAGTAAGCATTGAGGATTTGTTAAAAGCTTTGCCACATTCTTCACATTTGTATGGTTTTTCTCCAGTATGAATTATCTTATGTCTAGTAAGGGTTGCAGAGTATGTAAAAGCTTTGCCACAGTCTTCACATTTGTATGGTTTTACTCCAGTGTGAATTTTCTTATGTCTATTAAGGGTTGCAGGTTCTGTGTAAGCTTTGCCACATTCTTCACATTTGTAGGGTTTCTCTCCAGTATGAATTCTCCTATGCGTAGTAAGGGTTGAGCGATAGTTAAAAGCTTTGCCACATTCTTCACATTTGTAGGGTTTCTCACCAGTATAAATTATCTTATATGTAGTAAGGTTTGCGGATTGATTGAAAGTATCACCACATTCTTCGTATTTGTAGACTTTCTCTCCAAAATGAATTCTCTTATGTCTAGTAAGGTTTGCAAACCGATTAAATGCTTTGCCACATTCTTCACATTTATAAGGTTTCTCTCCAGTATGAATTATCTTATGTGTAGTAAGGGCTGAGCGATAGTTAAAAGCTTTGCCACATTCTTCACATTTGTAAAAATTCACTGTAGTATAAATTCTTTTATGTTGAGTTAGGTGTAAAAGCATACACAATAATTTGCCACATTCTTTGCATTTGAAAGGTTTCTTATCAGTATGTCTTAACTTATGTGTATTTAAATGTGAAAATTTATAAAAGACTTTCATACATTTATCACATTTAAATATTTTGCTCTGGATAGTTGGAAAATATTGGTTAAGTTCATTATAATCTTCCTTTTGCACCTTACACTCATCTACACTTTTACAGCCTTCTTTTAACAGAAAATTTGTATGTTCATATTTTTCATCTCTTCTCAGTGCAACTTTATGGAAAGAATCTTCTATGTTCTTCTCTGGCAAAAGGTCTTGGATGATATGAGAACACATTACTGAAAGAAATAAAAATAACACATTAATTGCTAGACTCGAATGAATATACTTCCCAAGTCTAATCTATAAAATTTCACAAACTACATAAGCAAGATGGCATAGTAAAATATCACAGACCATAATTTCTTCCTAGACATATAAATTTAACAAGCACATACTGACCAAAATACTTTTGTGTAAAACTTATAAATTTGTGTGCAGTGCCCCAGGTGAGCACAATATAAGGAGCCTCATAGAAGAGAAAAAAAAGTCTGTTATATTTACCTAAGACAGCTTTATCTGCTCCCCAATATAACATAATGCCATTCAAAGTAAATTTCCAACTTCAATTGTTTTACAGAGAGAAATATGTGAGAGTGTTTAATTCATAAAACAAAGAGGGGTTTTTTTTTGTTTGTTTTTTGGTTTATTTGGCAGATTGTAGAAAACGTGTGTACCAGCATCTGCTTCTGGTGAGAATCTCTGGAAGCTTACAATTATGGTGAAAGGCAAAGAGTAACAGGACATATTAGATGGTAAGAGAAAGAGCAAGTGTGAGGTAAAGAAGCTAGGTTCTTTTAATGAACCAACCTTTGAATCAACAGAGTATAAGCACTTTGATTAATAAAAACGTAGTGCCAACCCATTAATGAGAAATTTGCCCCCATGACACAAACACCTCCCACCAGGTCCCACATTAAACACTCAGGATTACATTACAGCATAAGGTTTGGAGAACATTGAAATCCAAACAATACTGTAGATCAATTCAGCTTAACAGGCATGTAGAAACTTTTTAAATCAAAAACAAGATAATACACCATATGCTTATTTGCACCTGGTATAGTCTGTTAGGACACATACCAAATCTTATTAAATTTGAGAATACCAGCTGGGTGCAGTGGCTCATGCTTATAACTTCAACATTCTGGAAGATCAAGATGGGAGAATCACTTGGGGCCAAAAATTTGAGACCAGCCTGGGCAACACAGTGAAACCCTGTCCTTACAAATAATCAAAAAATTAGTAAGGCATGGTAAAGAACTTCTGTAGTGTCAGCTACTAGGGAGATTGAGGTGAAAGGATCACTTGTGCCTGGGAGGTTATGGCTACAGTGAGCCAAAATTATTCCACTGCACTACTGCCTGAGTGACAGAGTAAGATCCTGTCTCAAACAACAAGACATAAATTTAAGAAGGCCAAAATTATACATGTTTTCTGACCAAAACCAAATAACACAGAAATTAAGTTTTAAAATTAAAACTTGCAAATCCGAATATATATGAAAATAAAACATACTTTTTTTTTGTTTGTTTTTTGAGACGGAGTTTCGCTCTTGTTACCCAGGCTGGAGTGCAATGGCGCAATCTCAGCTCACCACAACCTCCGCCTCCTGGGTTCAGGCAATTCTCCTGCCTCAGCCTCCTGAGTAGCTGGGACTACAGGCACGCGCCACCATGCCCAGCTAATTTTTTGTAGTTTTAGTAGAGACGGGGTTTCACCATGTTGACCAGGATGGTCTTGATCTCTTGACCTTGTGATCCACCCGCCTCGGCCTCCCAAAGTGCTGGGATTACAGGCTTGAGCCACCGCGCCCGGTAAAACATACTTTTTAACATATTCTTGCTGTAAAGGTAAAAAAATTTAATCATTCAAAGATGTCAATAAAACCTACAGTGGTGAACATATTTATTACAATCTCTATAAAAATCCCAATAGCACAATTTTGTACAAACATTAAAATTTTTAAATTTAATTATAAACTATAGCCAAACACCCATTAAAAGAACAAGGAGGCATTATTCCTTCTGATTTCAAAACATATTAAAAGCTAAATAATGCAATGTGGTGCTGACACACAGATAAACAGGTGAAAGAACATAATACAGAGCCCAGAAATAAACCCTTCTGTATACAATCAAATGATTTTCCCTGAAGTTGCCATAAGCACACAATAGAGAGAAGATAATCTCTTCAAAAAAATCATGTTGAAAACCAGGTATCAACACTGATAAAATGAGATCATTTCCTTGAAACAGATATGAAAAGCATTTTAAATAAAGTACTTAGATATAAAAAAAAACCTAACAAATCTCTCAGAAAAAAATAAAGGGAGAAGACAAGACATTGGTCTTGACACACCATTTTCTTAGGTACAACATTAAATGAATGAGCAACAAAGAAAAAAACGGAAAAAAATAACTACACCATTCTTCAAAATTTCTGCATGTCAAAGAAAAATTTAATTGACAATGCCTTTTAAAAAATGGGTGAAAATATTTGCAAATCACGTATGATAGGAGTTAATATGAAAAATATATAAGCAACGCTTAAAACTGATCAATGAAGTTCAATAACTTGATTTAGAAATAAATAATTGAACTAAATTTTTATCAAGACATATAAATGGAAAAAACCTTTGAAAAGACATGCAGAATTACTATTTGTAAAGAAATGAATAACAATTACATTGAAAAACAAAATAATCTTACACTTAATAGAATGGCAACTATCAATTTTTTAGAAATACCAAATTTGTTTATGACGCAATAAAAAGTCATGTAGAATGTTGGTAGAAATGAAGAATGCAGCCCTTATTTAAAAATGTATAAGTGTTTCTCAAATAATTAAAAATAAATGTATAATCAAATATAGCAATCTCATTTATGAATCTATATCTAAAATATGCAACATAGGACCTGAAAGACACATTTGAACATTCATGTTTATTGTACCAGTATTCACAAAAGCTAAAAGGCCAAAACAACTTAGGTGTTCCTTAACTTATAAACACATCAAAAAACATGTTTTATATATATACATATATATAACATTATGTTTATATATATAAACATAAAGTATTCTGTTATATATATATATACACTATATATGTGTGTGTATATATATACACACACATATGTACACGCACAATGGAGTAATATTCAGCTTTAAGTAAATCTTGTATTTTAAAATAAATTATGATAATATGTCACATGAAATAAGTAACAAAATTATGGATACTATATGATTCCACTTACATATCTTAATTAGTCACATGTATAGAAACAAAACATGGAAGGGTGTTTATCAAGGGCTGGGGAGAGGGCAAAATGGGCAGTTGTTACTTAATGTGTATTGAGTGTTAACTTTCAAAAAATAAGAAATTATAGAACTCTTTTACATAACAATGTGAATATACTAAACAATCTTGAAATGTACAGCTTTTTCTTTTTTTTTTTTTAAGACAGGGTCTCACTCTGTCACCCAAGCTTGAGGGGAGTGGCATAATTATGGCTCACCGTAGCCTCAAACTCCCAGCCTCACATAATCCTCCATCATCATTCTCCTTAAAGAGCTGAGACTACAGGTGCACACCGCCATGCCTGGCTATTTTTATACTTTTTTTTGTACAGAAAGAATCTCCATACGTTTCCCAGGATGGTCTCAACCTTTTGGGCTCAAGTTATTCTTCTGTCTTTGCCGCCAAAAATCCTGGGATGACAGATATTAGCTACCACCATGCCTGCCAGGCCCTGAAATATACACTTTAATATATTTAAGATGGTAAATTTTATGTGTTTTTACAAAAAATGTTTTTCAAAGAAAAACTGAAAACATACAGAGTGATATTTTTTTCAAAAGTTACCTTTAAATCACAAAAGTGTTTCTTTCACATCAAAGAAATATATATTCATCATTAAACACATGGTGAAAATAAGACTATTTCCCTGACTACTTAGACAAGATAAAACAACCATTCAGCTGAGAAAGAATATATATGAGATAAGCCATAAATTAAATTAGGTTTGTATTTAAATAAATGCACACGTATATAATCTGACTATGATAGGCATATTGCTGATTTATAGTTAAACTCCACATCGGCTTAAAGTGTACAAATAGAATTGCTAATTATCTAGTATTATAGTACATAAGTCTAAAATCACGATGAACTGATGTTAAGAAATCTACATTATAAAACCAATATAGACTGAAAAACAATAATAAATGTTTATTTCATAAATTCTGGTTTGCAATATTGATATACTATTAAGAAAGAATTTGTCTAGATAACTACAATATTTGACTAACTGTGTACTCATGGAAGGCAGGTATACTAAATCTTTGACATACACTATATGACTATAAAATTTCAGAGAAAATGCAGAATCATCATAAAATATAATTAAAAACTTCAAATAAACATTTTTTAAAAACTAGAAATATTGGCTGGGCACGGTGGTTTACACCTGTAATCCCAGCACTTTGGGAGGCTGAGGCAGGCAAATCATGAAGTCAGGAGATCGAGAACATTCTGGCCAACATGGTGAAACCCTGTCTCTACTAAAACTACAAAAATTAGCCGGGCAAAGTGGTGCGCACCTGTAGTCCCAGCTACTCAGGAGGCTGAGGCAGGAGAATCACTTGAAGCTGGAGGCAGAGGTTGCAGTGAGCCAAGATCACGCCACTGCACTCCAGCCTGGTGACAGAGCAAGACTGTCTTAAAAAAAAAAATTAGAAATATTTTTTATGTTTTAAATATATGCTCTTCTTAGACACAAAATGAAACTGCTGTAATCCAACTTTAGAAGCAAAGAATAGCTTTACATTGCTAAATAAATATATATGTGTGTGTGTGTGTATGTGTATATATATATATATATATATATATGCGCAACATATATAACAGAATATTGTTAGAGCCTCTGATATATAAAACAAATATTTGGGAATAATGGGAATAAAGTATGTTGATATTTAGATATAGGCTAAAAAATGTGTTCAAATCCTATAATTCCTTTTTGCCTACAGCAAACTTAAATTTATAAGTAACTATTTTAGTAAATATGGAGTGTCTACTAATTATCTAATTTACTTCAGACATAACTTGTAAATTCTAGAATAGTATTCTAAATCTCTGAATCTATGATCACAGACAAATTTGTAAAAGAAAAAAAAGAATAAAAATGTATAAAGGGAGTGAAATCATTAAGATGGAACAATGAAATGTGCCCCATTTTCTTACTCCCTGCACAGCAAGACAAACTGGTCTGCCATCTCTGACAAAAATACCTTTATGAGAGAGCCAGGCCTCATGGCTCAAACTTGTAATGACAGCCAAATGGCACATTCAGGTTACAGAATTGCTTCTCATCAGATTTCAAGACCAACCTGAATTATATAGCAAGACTTCATCTCAAAAATAAGTGCCTTTAACAGAGCTTTGAGATCTAGAGAGGGAATTTTGAAGATCTGATAAGGCCCAAGATTGAAAAGTCTTCTTTTCAGAAGGCAGGCCCTCATTTAGGTAGCAAACTACAGGATCCCTGTTCTTAGCTACAACTAGGAAACTGGCTACCTAACTTGTCACAACAGAGAATTCTGAAGTTACTGTGTAATCATCTCAAACTCCCTCCAGCCACAATCTGAGAGCGGTCCTGTCCTTCCATGGGCCTGGAGGAAGACATTCATTTATAGCCAATGCAGGCAGGCCTGCAGACCTTGGCCTTTATTGTGGTCCCTGAAGTAGTTCAATGATTCAGTTTCAGCTCTCTCAGCCACAGTTCATGGCCAGTTCTGCCTACCTAGGAACCCACACAGTGACCTGGAAAAATTCTTTCTGGTATTCAGTGAAAGCTGTCCTCATCCACATTTTGATATAAGGCCCACCATATGCAGACTTGACTGCAGAAACCTATGCTAGTGTCTTCCCTATAGAGCAACCAACAAAAATTCAATCTATCCAAAATATAAAATGCAACTGTAACTACCAAATCCCCTTGTACCAAGCCAACTAAAGGTAGACCCTAGTGCTGACCCAGTAGCCTTGTGACCAAACTGCAATCATTCTTTACTACAAACCCAGAGGGCATCCCATCACTCTGGGGGCCCAACAAAATAAAATCTTTATCTCCTGAAAGCAGTTTCTAAAAACTTGAAAAGGTGTTTTCTCCTTCAAATTCACAGGCACCAATGCAAAAGTAAATTGTGCCCATTGTCAGTGCTTCTATTTTAACATGTCATTGAAAGTATGTGGCAGAAGAATTAGTCGATAAATAAAAAAGCCATTGAAATTGAAAACAAGTAAAAAATTGCTGGTTGTAAATCATATGATCTTATATATATATAAAACCATAAGCAGTACATTACAACCTATCTAAAGCTGGGTGTGGTGGCTCACACCTGTAATCTCAGCACTTTGGGAGGCTGAGGTGGGTGGATCACCTGAGGTTGGGAGTTACAAAACAGTCTAACCAACACGGAGAAACCCCGTCTCTACTAAAAACACAAAATTAATCCCAGCTACTTGGGAAGCTGAGGCAGGAGAATTGCTTGAATCTGTGGGGCGGAGGCTGAGGTAAGCTGAGATCGCACCATTGTACTCCAGCCTGGGAAACAAGAGCAAAACTCTGTCCAAAAAAAAAAAAACCTGTCTAAACTAATAAATATAATCAGCAAATTAGGAAAATATAAAATGTACATACAAGATAGGGTTTCATACACTTAAGCTCTCTGATAAAATAGAGGAAGAAAACAATCTTATTTACGATAGCATTACAATGATAAATTTCTGAGAACAAATTTAACAGTGGAGGTAAAAAATCTTTACAGTGATATATCACTAAAAAAATTAGAAAAGAAATGAATTTTAAAATATTTTATGTCTATGCATTTAAAAAATAAATACTGCTAAAGTGTCATGTTATCCAAAGTGATCTACAGATCCAATAAACTCTCCATCAAAATTTCAGTGACAATTTTTTTAAGTAATGGAAAACGCAATTTTATAATTTACATGTAACTACAAAAAACTTTAGTCAAAGCAATCTTTAAAAAACAGCAGAGAGGCATCATACTTTACAACTTCAAACTCTATTTCAAGACTATAGCAATACAAACAAGATGAAATGTGCCGAATAATGAACAGAAAAAATGAAACAGAAATTACCCACATTTTACACGATACAAAAAGAAAACTTAAAAAATTGTTTAACAGAGTTTTTAAAAATTATGCAGATTTTATGTTCCCAAAAATAATGTAAAATCAGTCAGACTGTGCAGTTTTTATATGCCATGAAGAGGACAGTTGCTCTCACTAGAAATTTGAAAGAAGATCACCAAAAAGAAAGTAGAATCTTTAGAAAATTTAAAAGTGTAAAACAGAAGATATCAAATTATGAGAGGAAAAAAACCAAAACAAAACCAAAACAAACAAACAAACAAACAAAAAACTCAGGCTTTCCAGAAACCATTCCAATGGGACATAGCTTTCCAACTCACATTTTAACAACTGGCTTTCTCTTTAATATTTAGACCTGTCATCTGTGTTATCCATTGGGTTCACCTTAACTCTCACCTACCTGGGGGTTTATCCACCATTTCATGTCTCTTCATATTCCAAAGCTCTTTTTCTTGCTCCAGACAGGTGATCAGGTCTGGCTTAGAGACAGCAATACCTGTTTTATTACAAATAAGTAAGATAAATTTTGCTCATATTCTCCAATTACCAACCTAGTAATATGTTCAGTAAAGAGTGTAATAAAATATTTTTATAATGTAATCACGAAATACTGATTTCTAACAGAGGATTTTAAATTTGTAGGTTATTAATTTCACTAGCCAGTAATACTGAATCAAAACTTGGTGTTGGCAATTAGATTTTAAGGTATGGACAACAATATATTATATGACTAAATTAATGAAATTACTGCTAATCTAGAATGAAGGATACAGATCAGCTTAGAAATGTAGAAAGTTCAGGTCAAGATGAAACATCTTCAGAAATTATTTTATACATGGACAAATCCCCAAGATTTTCTTGAAAACAGGGATCTGAAACTTATTTATGCAAAGCATATATTACCAAAACACATTCTACCAAAAAGAGAAGTGAAACCATTGGGGTATGTTTGAAATTGTGTGTTGAAGTTATCCTCACCCAGAAAGACCAGATTTTCGTAGTTCTCTAACATCACATTCCTATATAAATTCCGCTGTGCAGTGTCCAAGAATTGCCACTCTGTCAGAGAGAATTCTATGGCCACATCTCTAAATGTCAGCAGTACCTGAAAAACAAACACACACACATAGAGACACATACACACACTTACCAGGTAGACAGTAGAATTTATAACTCAACTACAGGTAAAATGAGAGAGTAAATAGAACTAGTTCTGACTTATAAGAGTGACTGAAATTATTTAATAAAATATTTATTTACACAGAAGTATTTCCTAATGTATTCTCTACTCCTGAGAAAAGAGAATGGATTCACAACACTAGTGAATCCATAATACTTTTCTGAATAATAAAGAATAAAATTAAGGGCATAAATACAAATGTGTACACTTTTCAGTGCTGTATTTGCATCATACAGAATCAGTTATATGTATTTTTCAGATGGAAAAGATATGTTGTTGGAAGTTACCTCTAAAATTTGTAATTTTTAACAGCGATTTTAAATAGTCTTTAACACCCTAGTAGCAGGTATCTCCTGATAAATTTCTCAAGAAGTTTTTGTGAAGTAAGTGCCCATCTTGTTTAAATCAGCTTTTTTATTATTAGTTTTTTTGAAATGGAGTTTTGCTCTGCGGCCCAGGCTGGAGTGTAATAGAGCAACCTCAGATAACTGCAACCTCCGCCTCCCGCGTTCAAGCAATTCTCCTGTCACATCCTCCTGAGTGGCTGGGATTACAGGCACCTGCCACTACACCTGGCTTTTTTTTTTTTTTGTATTTTTAGTAGAGACAGGGTTTCATAGTGTTGACCAGGCTGGTCTTGAACTCCTGACCTCAGGTGATACGCCCCTCTCAGCCTCCCAAAGTGCTGGGATTACAGGTGTGAGCCACAGCACCCGGCCTCAAGTTCCCTGTTAATGCTGACGTTGCTTCCCCTGGGCTCATCATTGGCATTAGTTAGAGAAAGCTGGCACAGCACAGAGTCCCTTACACTCAGCACCCTTGTCACAACATACATACTTCTAGGAAAAATGAATACAACCAATTTCCTTATTCTTTTTTGGTTCTTTAAAGTTTACAAGAACAAAGACAATGCAGCAATGTTTGAATAAGTTTACATTTGGAAACCAACATGTGCACATGGACGAATGTAATGTTATTGAGCAGGTACTATATGCTCAAGAGTATGTTAGAGAGCACCGTACTGGATATTAAACGTCGTGTGATTTAATCATCATAACACCCTGGGAGATGGTACTGTCCTGAATAATTCCCAGATTTTAGATAAGGAGTCTAGCATTTTTATTTCTTCCTCTGATTGTCTGTCATTGATTTGTTTTTTAATGTATAGAATAAAACCTAAATATAGACAAGTAAAAGGGATACAGAAAAGAGTTTACGTAGTTTAGCAGAATAAGTATTGTGTTTATATTTACTTTTTTGTGATTTGTGGAAAAACTACTGGATCTGCAGAAATAGAAAACAAGTTGCCAACTGGACTTTCTCCGCTAGCATTGTTTTTTTAAAAAAAAAAAAATAGGCCAGGGGTGGTGGCTCAATCCTGTAATCCCTGCACTTTGGGAGGCCAAAGTGGGTGGATCACCAGAGGTCAGAAGTTTGAGACCAGCCTAACCAACATAATGAGACCCCTTCTCTACTAAAAATAGAAAAAATTAGCCAGGCATGATGGCAGGTGCCTATAATCCCAGCTACTCAGGAGGCTAAGGCAGGACAATTGTTTGAACTCAGGAGGCAAATGTTGCAGTGAGCCGAAAATGCACCACTGCACTCCAGCCTGCGCAACAAGAGCAAAATTCTGTCTCAAAAAACAATAATAACAAATTAAGACACTATAATATACAGTTTATTTATCTCATTTATCTGCTTTTTGATTTTTAAAAAATTGTGAGCATCAGCTCTAGAAAGGCAAAAGGATTCAAAACTCTCATCTCTTATCAGTTATGTGAGGCAAAACTCCAGGGTTGGGCCAGACCTTAGTAAGACCTTTATGGAGGGCAAACCTAAAAAGAACTGGGGCAGGGAGAGGATCCTATGTAGAATTCTGTTCTCTATAACACTGGGTATTTCATATTCTGTTTTTATAGACTTACCTAAGAGAAACTTAAATCCCAGAGTTTGTGTAACTTTAATCTTTTTTAGCCACTGTCCTGTCAATTTTATAACATATACTAATAACCAATTTAAACAAATCCCTTAAAGTTTTCTAGGATAATTTTATAAGATAAGTATGTATTCCTGGCAAGGTAAAAAGAATGGAATAATAATAACCCTTCTGTCCATAAATATCCCTTTAGGTAATAACATAGAAATTCACAATATAAAGTAAGTAACCCAAATAAAACCCAAGTTTGTTTGCACACATCTATTCCTTGTACCCACCATATGATGCTCAATTAAGCCATTATCTAGTTGCTGGCCTAGGCTAAAAGCTCCTGGATGGTAAAGGTCATAACTGCTTCATCTATTTTTCTAATGGCCATATGAAATAGCAACTATTAGTTTATCTGTTTGAGTCTCCAGACGTCCTCCTTGTTTTGCACTCAACTACCACAGAACTGGAGAAACTCTCTTCTGGGTACCAACCAAAGAAATCTCACGTACGAGGGGTGGAAAACACAGAATAAATTATTTCACTTAAACTGAACAGAAGCAGAAGTAACTACTCTTGTCAGCCTGACACAATTTTGTTTTGTACATTTTCAAATTTCTAATAGATGTCTAGATGATTGTGAGAGGATTCCCAGTGCTTCTGAGCTGATGTCCCATCAATAAGCAAGGGAGGAGAGAGGCTCAGGCTAAATAAAAAATTGAACTGCCCTAGTAAAGCTTTAGAACTTTAATCATCAATTCTGATTAGCCAAATTTTGGGTTAAAAACAAACAAAAAAAGGACAAGAATACTCTAGTATTATATTTAACATGTAGGTATAGTTTGGTTGTGGCTCTGGATACTTTGTGACCTTAATCTCTTACTCTGAAGATGTTTGTTTACGCTTAAAGGTTCTGACGTCAGATTCTATTTACACCTGGAGCCTCACATAACTGTAACAGGTCACTGGACAAGACCTGAAAAGCTCAAAGAGCCACATTGTCAAATGGTAACTTTAAGACATCTGTGTTGACATCCTACAATGCAGAAATGTCTCCTGTTTGTTTTCTGTACATTCTCAATCCAAAAACTTTCTGTGTTTTGTGAATCCTAGGCAGAAATCTGATCTTATGTGCAGACTCTAGGTCAGATCAACCTGGCTTTGCATTCTTGGGTGTGATAGCAAGTGGAGTACAATCAAAAGAGAAGTCCCCTCATAGAGGCTACTCTAGCACATTCTAAATAATATGCCTACCTACAAGAAATAAGCTGAGGCAACATGAATATAAGTAGACAGTTTATTTGGGCCAAGCATGAGGATTATAACCTGGGAGCAAACATTCAAGTTGACTGAAATCTAAACATTCCTTGGCACTAGTTACAAGTATATATGTAAAGTCCAAAAAAGAGAAAGACTGGACAGGTACAAATTTATCAGAAATTTTTACTTACTTACAGAAATAACATTGATTATTGATTTGACATACATCATTAAGGTTTAGAATAGAAATTATAGTGTCCACTGTGGCATTATTAGTTTAAGTGATAGCTACTGGTGGCAACAGCAAATGCTTTCAGAAGTAAATACATTATTGAAAAGGGGAAAAAAGACATAACTGTGCTCTCATTTTAATGTCTGAGTTTGACAACTAGAAGGACTTAGATTCCTCAGACAAAAGGCTTTTTTTTTTCTTTTATTTTTCAAATCTCAAGACCTAGATTCAGAATTTGGAGCTGCAGATTTAAGGCTCTGAATAAATAGATTAGCAGCAGGTGTTACTTGCGTTTGTGCACATTTAGCAAGAGGAGGAAGGGTAAAGTGGAAATTCTCATGTCTCCATGTCTACTGTAGAAAATAAAATAGAAGTTCCTCTTCAAAGTTTCCTTGGCTGTCCCAAATATTCACCCTGACATGTCTGGGAAAGCCTAGGCAAGCATTAGATTATAGTTTCCTCCTTTGCCCTTATTAAGGAGTACTTTTGCCTTTTTCAGCATTCCACAAGTCATTTCCTCTTTTCTTTGTCCTTTCTTGCCTTTACCTATTTAGGAAAATTTTAGTTGCTAGCCAATCAGGTCAAGCTTAGAGGGTGAGGTCCTGTTCCAGCCAAGGAAACTAGACACAGAAGTAGGATGGTTGCATCAAGTTATAAATGCCTCTGTATCCTTTGTTCAGGTGTGCTCTCCTGCAAGACTGCTATCAAGTGGCACCTTTTCTGCAGAAAGTAACAACTGACCTTGCTGACTGATCCACAGTCTCAGTGTTAATTTTTTGCAACACCAAGTGCCCGTTTCTAACAGGTGGGGGCTCATTGGTATTCCATTTTCCTCTGGGAAGTCCCTGGCTCTCTCTTGTGGGGAGGCACCCCACCACCTCCTTGCAGTGGCCTGGGGAGAAGACAGCCAGGACCTACTTGGTGTGAGGAATATATTTGGATCTTCAGCAATGTGGGAGAAGGGAAAGCTTGCAGAACCGTGGTAGCCAGGCAACCTTGTGCACAGGCCAAGGTAAGAAATGTCACAAGAGGGCGACAAAGTATTTTCTTGGTGGTCAACTTCTGGAAGGCTGAGTGTGTGTGAATGGTCACAAGCATCACTGCTTGCGGTGGTGGCTGTATGGAAGAAAAGTGAAAGAGATCTCTGGAAGGGGAGGGAGAAAAACCTCCGAGGATAAATTAGGCAAGAAACGTCTAGTACGTGAGGTTGAGCCTTAGCAAGCCTCTAGAGACAGGACTGGCAAGATATCCCCGTTCTGAAGGATCTGGGGGATTGAGCCTCCCATGGGACAAAGAATAGGCAAGACATCTTTAGTGTGAAGGGTTGGGCCTATGTAGTATACAACATGGGAAATGCTTCTAGTAAGACTGGAACAGGAAGTAGAACTAGAAATAAAAGAGGTGAAAGTGATCAAATCCCTCCTGATAGCCCTCTAGGGCTCAAAGTTAAAGCACTGGAAAGAAAATGAACATACTAAACATAAGAAAAAAACAATAATGATTAAA